AGTCATTAGGAATTGAAAGCCTACTTCCTCTGTTAGATATTTTACAAGTTCCAATGTGGCCCTTATAGTTACCATCAATCCAAAAAATGCATCTGTAGTAAATTCATCAGAGGCACCAACAATTTAAAATTATGTAGTCTCAATCAAGTGTAATATTTTGTCTTTTGCAGATACCACATCAGTTTGAGAAAAAACGTTGTGTTGAGGACAGTCTGGCCTTGCAGTGAGACAATTCAGCACATCTTTTGAGATCATAGCCTTAATCAAATCACTCATTCTTTCTATAAATTTTATAGTTGGGCCACTGTCTTCCAGTTCAGGATAAATGTTTTTCTCTTTCAAGTACTTCATGGAAGAGAGAACACTACCAAAAAACTGTTGACAAACAAGAGAAGTGTCTTGGATTTCACATCAAAAAGGTATCTAATATTAGTACTGTAACATTTTATGAGTTCACCTCAAATGCCATCTTGACATTCATCTTCTGGTGGTTTGATGGCTTTAAGTGATCAGAACGTAAAGTCCAACACTGTTTGATTGCAGTTTTTTCATTGTGTTTTATGACAGTTTCCCAATGCGATGACTTAATTATTCCGTCTGGCAACTGCAAAAAGATTTAAGATAAAACAACTTGTCAGTATGGTCAGTACAATCAGTACTTTGTTATTGTGCAAAATATAAAAAGTGACTTATACTAACGCTCATCTCTTTTCTCGAAACAACTCTATTCCACATAGTTTTGACCAGATGGGGAAAATCCGAAGCAAACCAGAGCTTTTGGTTTTTATCTCCTGGGTGCTCTGTGTGTGATGTATGGATGTTTACCCCTGAAAGCTTCCACATTGTACGGTTCCATCGAGCACCATCCGTTGTCACAATGTCAACTATAAACCCTTGGTTATAGAGAAGGACAATAGCCTCCACAACCATCTTTCTTAAAATATGTCCTGGCACAGCTACTGAACTTAGAAATGCACCTAAGGTTTGGACCCATTGCCCTTTAAACGGTTGCAACATAAGAGCAAGACCATGGTCTCCTTGCTTTTCTTTTTGTTCAGGAGGGGTGTACTTCCCAAGGTCTACAACCCCATGAACCTCGCACATGTCAGCTCTGTAGTTCAGAAGTGCATCAAGCTGCATCTCATCGAGTAATAGGCATCCTGACAAATGGTAGAAAAGGTTCGTTAAAGTAACAGCTTAAAATCTTAAAATTAACATCAGGCTTATGTTTGGAGCATACCATGCTTTTCAGACTTGTCAAAATTTTTTCCTTTGACACCCATTACTTTAAAAACATTATCCTGTAAACCATACTCTGCTTTGAGACCCTTCATGTATTTATTAAGAGTGTTCTCTGAAGGTAATGGTACCTTATTATCTCTTCTTAATTTTCTGTTTAAAGCATGGCCCCTCATTCTCATTATTAAACATTCATAAATGAACCCTCTTGAATATCTTCTCCCTTTTGTGCTCTTGCATTTTGCAGCCATGAAAATGTTTTTAACTAGCTCCTGCTGCTCAAGGGGTACTGTACTTAGGAGAATGTCTAAATACTGTTCTGATATATTTCGGCACTTTTCATAACAGTCCTCCACCTTTTTTTGAGAGACAGAATCTGTAAATTATTAGCAGTGGTTAAAGCATGCAGATTGAATTCCTGCAAGTAAACAATTACCTTTCAATATTTTTACCTTTCTTCC